CCTGCTCTTCCCATAAATAAAGACATTGCTGAAACATTTGTGCTGGAAATATATTATTTACAAATGAAGTCAGGCCCACAAGGCCCCAATTGGGTCCAAGCCCCCATGTGGCCACAGCATCATAACACCCCTGCATCCTCACACACATCTCAATCCTGAGCTATCATACACTGGAATCCCTTGTCCTGAGCATCTCACATCCTCAGTCTTCTGCCACAACACTACTGCACAGTCTACACACTGCAAATCTGTGTCCTGAGCCCATCATACTCCCAACCCCTCTGCCCTGAGCCCCTCCGACACCTCAGCCTGAACTCCTGCACCCTCATCCACAAGCCTGTGGTTTGCTCAGCATCCCAATACTCCTGACCCCAACACTCTCCAGCCTGGAGCCCCCTCCCTGAGCCAGAAGCCTCTTCTCCACCTCTTCCTGCACCCAAATTCCCTCCCAGAGCTTGCACCTTCACCCCTTCCCACACCCAAATCCTCATTCCCACCCCAGAGCCAGCACATCCTGTCTCAATCCAGTGAGAGTGAGTAAGGGCTGGGGACAGCAAATGGAGAGGAGGGAAAGGGAGAGGGTAGGGCCTCTAGAAAAGGGTGGGGTCTTCGGGCTTTCCCTGACATTTAAAAAGTGATCTTGGGTGTAAAAAGATTGGAGACACTACCATAAAAAAATTTTAATTTTCAAATTTCATGCCATGAAATGTGAATATATATATATTTATATTGCCTTTTGATGTGTAGGGGTACTGGTTTGGTTAGTGGGGAGGCCAAAGAACGATGTAGAAGGCAATGGAACTTTTTCACACTTGCAGGAGTGTTTGGGACTGTTCTGTCGTGGGAATAGGTAGCCAGTCTTGCATGGTTACTGGTGGTGGGGTATATATAAGGCAGTGCACAACTGTACATAAGAGTAGTAGTAAATAAACATTTGCAATAACTTATCAAAGTAACTTGCGTCCATTAAATTTATTGTAATTGGGAAAAATATTTTTATAGATTTTTTTTTTTAATTTAATATATTATGGCTGCGATTAAGAAAAGGAAGTGCGATGAAGACTACATTAAGAATGGCTTCACTATCATGGAAAAAAACGGGATTGATCATCCTCAATGCGTAGTATGCCACACAGTTCTTAGCAATGACGCCTTGAGACCTAGTCGTCTTGAGAGACACTTGATGAAGAACCACAGCGCTTTGACAGAAACCAAGAGAGTTTTTTGCTGCTAAACTTCAAAATTTGAAATGCATGAAGCTGGACACTACTGGAGCTTTTTATCAAGCATTGGCTGAAACGCTACGGTAGCTTTTCATGAAGTGTTGGCCAAAGTGGTAGAAGCATCTTACGAACTGTCATTGCTCATCGCTAAAGCCAAGAAAGCGCACATAATCAGAGAAACTCTTGTGAAGCCTTGCTTGTTGAAAGCAGCTGATATTGTCCTTGGTGTCGAAAGCAAGAAAAAACTATCGAAAATTTTGCTTTCTGACAATTCCGTGAAACATCGCATCGATGAGCTGGCGAAAGATCTTAAACTTCAAGTTGTGGAGGAAGTGTTGGCATCTTTTTTTTTTTTTTTTTTGCAATTCAGTGAGACAATACCACTACTGTAGCACAATGTTGTCAGCTGCTTGTCTAAGTTTGATTAATTAACAATGGAACTGTGAAAGAAGAGCTGCTTTTTTCGAAGGAATTGATGACCACATCAAAGTCTTCTGATATTATGAAAACGGTTTCTGACTTTTTTTAAGAAAATAGACTTTCGTGGGGAAAACTGGTTGGTGTATGCACAGACGGTGCTCCCGCAATGCTTGGCTCTTGCTCTGGATTTGTGACATTGGTGAAAGGAAAAAAAATCCAGCCGTAACCACAACTCACTGCGTCATACGCAGACTAGCAATGGCTGCTAAAACACTTCCAGATGACCTATGTGACTCATTGAATTTGGCCATCAAAATTGTCAATTTTGAGAAGAGCAGTGCTTTAAATACGAGACTTTTTGATGCTCTTTGCATGGATTTGGGAGCAGATCATAAAACTCTTGTTTCACATGGAGGTATGATGGCTGTCCAAAGGTAACATGCTTTCAAGATTTGAACTGAAAGATGAAGTGGAAATTTTCCTCAAGCAACAGAAGAAAGAAGAGTTATATCATGCATTTACAGACCAAACGTTTCAGCTTTCACTGGCATACCTGGTGGACATTTTTGAATCTTTGAACAACCTCAGATTGAAGCTGCAGGGAAACAACGCTGCAAACGTTATAACACACCGTGATGCCATCAAAGCATTTACAGAAAAAGTCCAGCTTTGGAAACGTCGAACACAAGCTCAGATGCCTAACTTTTCGTCTTTTCCAATATTTTCATCATTTATTGAAAATGAAGGTTTCCAAGAAGTTTGTAGAGAGGATGTGAAGAACAAAATTGTGTTTCACCTGGACTGCCTTGCTGACACATTCATCCTCTATTTTCCAGACAACTTTTCTGGCAACCCCATTCATAAATTAGTACGCAATCCATTCAGCATTGATGTTGATTCATTGCCAGAAGTATTGCAAGAACAAGCACTTGAAATAAAATATGATTCAAGTGCAAAAGATAATTTCGAAAACACAAGCTTGAAGGAATTTTGGATAAAATATTTCCCAATGTACTCGGAAGTTGGAGAAGAAGCGCTACGTATTATTCTTCCATTTTCATCAACCTACCTCTGTGAAAAAAGCTTTTCAAGTTTAGTCACATTAAAAACAAAACAGAGAAATCAACTGGATGTCAAAAATGATTTGCGTTGCGCACTTTCATCTTTCAAACCTAGGATTTCCCAACTTGTGAAGAAAATGCAGCATCATCCTTCACATTAAATTTGATTTGTTTCTGCTATTTCTTAAGTTAAATTACATTTTTATTAAATTTTTGTGCCAAGAAAAGCTATTTGTGCATATTTTTAATTTAAAATAATTTTTATACCAAGATTTTGTGTTTATTTTTAATTTTAAAATTACAAATTGAATTTTTTTGTTAAAAGGGGGTTTGGATGATGGTAAAGAAGAGGTGGGGGGTATGAGGGTTTCTCAGAAATCAAAAGGGGGGCGTGATTCTGAAAAGTTTGGGAACCACTGTGTTAGAGTGTCAGTGATAAATAATTTGTAGTCCCTCTGAGTCCTTTGAAAGTTGCTATGGATAGGAAATGAAGAATACTCTAGCCAGGGGAGATTGCAACAACCCAATCTGTAGTACTTGGCTAAAACAAAGCAGACATTTAGCAAGGATATAGAGGTAACATTGCACTTTCTGTAAGAGTAGTTGTAGTTTCTTTAGTGACCTCAGGCAGTCAGGTTGTCAAGGATGCACTTCATTCAAAACTGCTAGCATCATGCCAATTTGAATATTAGAAGATATATGCCAGATGGAAAGGCTAAAAAAAAATAGGAGCAAATTGTCTAGTTGTGAAGGATGTCTAATAAGCATGCTAGTTGAAATTGGGGATGCTTATCACTTGCAGATAATTAATTGAGTTTTATTGAAATCTGGTGTTTGTTTTGGTGCGTACTTAACAGCTCAGTGCAAGTTCTGCTCTTGAAAAGTTATCAGAACAATTTACAACTTTATAGGGAATTGAAAGGCTTCAACAATACAAATAGCAATAACATGGGTTTGTTTAAACATTATAAATATCAGTAATATCAGAATGTCTGTATGTGCGCACCTACAGACATTCTTTTATTTGATGTAAGGAGCGTTAGAAGTGTTAGATTTCATAGAGAACACAAAGATTTACACTATAGACTTTCAATGTGGTCTATTTTTCTGCTTAAAAAAAGAACAAAAGCAAGCTGGCTCATTTTAATCAGAATACATTCTTTATAATGGACATTTTTGAAAAGTGCCTTCAGTTGTTTCTGTTAATTGTGCATCTTTCAAAAGCTATTGTGCTGAGGGTTTTTTTCCCATTGTTTTTAAAACTTTGTGCATAGCAAGCACTGCAAAATACATTTAAAAAAACAGATCCTGGTTAATTCAGAAATGGATTCCATCTGTGTTGACATTGGCTGCACATGTTTACCCGCTCCAGCTGTGTGAAGTAACCCAGTGCTCTAAAGGGGTCGAATTCAGACAAGCACCATTTGTGTTTCATTTCCCTTCTTTTTTTTCCACTTTCTTTTTGAATAACATTTAGATTAAAAACCAGCATTTTTTTCAGATCTCTATTGGAATCTCTTATTTATTGCTGAATAAAAGATAGTTTAGAAGCCTTGTGTCTGTGTTACATCAAAATATGCATGGCTCTCAAGACCAATATTTCGTAGATGAATTGGTTTAATAATAGGAAGTTCATATATTATAAATTCACACACACACACACACGGAAAATAATTTAAGACTAGAGTGGGACATTGAAGTCTACCCTGAGCCAGCAGAGGCAAACATTCAAGAGCTGACCAGGGAATAAGCTGACCCCAAGAGTCACAATTCATTACTTAGCACACGCCTTCATTCGCTGCTCTGGAGATCGATGTTCTGGCATTTGTTTTAGTGGGTCTATTATGAACACTGAGGGCAGCTCCGGGCAGTGCCTGTACACCTCACAGTTGCTGGAGTTGCGTACCTTAAGCCGACCTTCCAGGTCTAGTGTATACCTGGCCTTAGTTTCTCTCCTTACCCCAAAGTGAAGTACTCTGCAACTGGAAGATCATGTGGCTAAATTCCTTCTGATGCACTGTTCTCTTTAACCATATTTTATTATAACAGCCTGGTGGGAGCTTAAAACTTAGACCTATTTTATTTCTAAAAGTTGCTACTCTCCACAAATCTGTGGTATGAAGAAGTATGAGTACTTCCCTGGGCTTTTCTGTATAATCACAAACGAATTAGTTGGCATTGCTAACCTGGATAGTGTTCCTCTAATTAGCAGTGAACATCAGCAGACATCTTAGGTGCATTTTATTTGTCATGATCTGGAGAGCTTTTGATCTCATTAATTTCTTTCTTCATTTAGCCACCAGATAACGGGCCTCCACCACTACCAACATCATCCCTTCCTGAAGGCTACTATGAGGAAGCGGTGCCACTTAGTCCTGGAAAAGCTCCTGAATACATCACCTCTAGTGAGTAACATACTTTCTGTGGCTGCCCTAAGCAATTATCTGTTTTAGTTAATTTCACTGCTTTAAAACATGAAGACATAAAAAAGAAAACTTCTCTCTCTTTACATCCTCTGAAGTTAAGAATTATGTGAAGAGTTTGCTGTTATTTGTATCTGGTTTTATGACAGGGAGGTCAGGTAGGCACACTGGACCCCGAAACAGTTTCTGCTGTGAGTGACCACTTCCTCCAATGCTATCCAGTGATACTAGTTCAATAGCAACTCGTGGACAAGAGTGCTACCTCCTGATCAATCACCAAAACTTTGCACTTGGCCCCTTCCCCCTCCTGTGATCATAGACAAAATACTTGGCAAGGCTAACCTAGCTTCCATCAACATCACATTGGATCACAATAATAGAATAATGGCATGCCTGCCATTGAACAGCTATGCAGATTTAGGTAACTAGATGTTTAAGTACTAAAAGATGGAGGGTGTTTTTCTGTGGTTTGGAGGTAGCGGTTTAAAATCCCATGTAAATTATTAGCTATAGGTTTAACCAGTTAATCTCCTGCCACGCTACGGATGTGGTGGGGGAGGAACTGGAGCAGCCCCGCCTACAGTGTGCTTAGCCCACTGCAGGCACAGGCTGCTTGGGCCAGGTAGGGCCTCCATACTGTGCTGTTGGTAGGGTTGCCAGGTGTCCGGTATTTACCTGGACAATCCGGTAATTTTGCCTCCTGTCTGGTAAAAAGGTTCAGAGAATACCGGACACCTGAGATGTCCAGTATTTTCTGAATTTTTACTCAGCCAGGAGGCGAAAATACCCTACAA